CAGACTAGCTTCGTTGGGCGTAGTCATCTGAACACGCTACGCCCCCCTGCATATGACAGTGTGGTTCGCGGTAATCAAAACTCATCTAGAGACGGAGGGTGGCACACACACACATACCTAGCACTTCCAATGGGTGCCCATTGGGTGACCCAGGTATACGGTATAATTAGTTTTGTTATATATGTATAGTACGCACAGATAGATCCAAAACTCCAAGGTGGAGGTAGCTGAGCAGGTGCCTGTGGATGGGAAGCTTTCAGCGCCCCTTGGCGAAGATGATCTGAATGTAATTTGAACTAGCTTGTGGTCGGTCGTTTAGATAACGTTTTTGTCGACAAGGCTGTTATTTCTTGTATGCTAGGACACGGTTCATAGCTAGAAGATGATAGGTCTTTGAGTCATTGAGGGTAGGACTGTTGATCCACATTGATGATTGTGCGATGTTCTTCCGATGACACGATGTGTCGGTCATCGCTCATGACTGGAATGTCAAGATTTGCATGCACAAACCAACACCTTTGGCATCCTTCAGGGCAGTTCTGAAATGTTTGCTTTCTTACAGGGTGAGCACTTGGAGTACGAATTTCTGAAAAAACGAGACGCTTGCAGTGCTGTCAGGGAGGTCAAGGTGGAGCTAATCACGCATGCGTGCCGTGAAATGGCAAATCACTTGAAAAAGAACGGCCGGAGGAAACAGGACAGGTTTGCACCGTGAATGTTGTGGTTTTGGTTGGGTGTACTTGGGGTGTAGGGCTGGCTTAGACAATATCAAAACATTTTTGTTCCGGCTTGGTCAAGCCTGGGGGCTGCAAGTGTAGCAGGACAAAGAGTCGAAGTCTACACTGATATGCTGCATCCGCCTGCTCCCTGAGGCAAGTTGGGCCTTCTCACAGACTTAACACCAACAATCTTTCAGTGGTGAACACCGTCAACAAAGAGTGGCTCATGTGTTACATGTGATATGAAAGATTGAGAAAACTGCCGTTGGAAGAAAGGCCTACCTTGGGCTGGAGTGACTTTGCGCTGACCAGGAAGACCGGGAAGTCTTCTTAGAGACCCTGCAATGGCAAGAGTTAACGATGCAGGCCCACCCATCGCAGCTTCCAATGTCTAGAGTAGAATCAATTCTCAACACCTTGTTTCAAAGATACCTTTTTTTGCTCGTTTTGACTCCTTGTGTGTATCATTGCATGTATCCACACACACTGCCATACCATTGTATGTCCAATGGCTGCATTACCAAAACGTAAACTTCAACCTGATTTTCCATCAAACCAGGTATACGAAGCAGACAAGCGCTACGAGAAGTGTGCGGCGATCTCTTTGGAGATCCGCGACTGGAAGAAGGCAAGGCAGAAATGGGAGGCGTAGATGCGTAGACACAAGTCACAAGTCAAAGTACAGAGACTTTGAAGATAATTGAGGTGACTGGATCATATGATTATATATATATAACATAAGGAATTTAGGAAGCTACAGTACTGTAAGCAGGAAGGGGCATACCAGCGCTGTAGGCTGTCCAGCCCGCTGTGCAAGAGGGTTTGCATCACCGCTCAGTCGCTCCGCCACACACACAGGCACGGGACTACTACAGCCGCTTGCGCTGAAGGAATTGACAGAGTTTGAGACGGGCAGTCATCAACTGTCAATATTGGGGGTATACAACAAGAAGCTACTAGGTGGAGGCCATCGCTACTAGTAACAAGAAGCTATCAGGAAGGGTGTCTCTAAAGTTTTGACCTTTTGTGTCCGTGCATGCAGGTCTGTGCTTACACAAAATACTGAAGAGTTCTTTTTACCTTCCAGGTGGTTTCCAAGCATGTGTGCCATGGGTACTCGGTGCTCGAAACGATGTGCCGTAATTGCCGCAATTGCATCCCTCATGTCAATGCGTTGCCGATGCTTGTCGTGGCATCCCTGAGGCAAGGCCAAGCAAACCAGTGAGGCCAACTGGCTGGAGCTGGTCGAGAGCATGTGGAAACTATTGGAAGGAGGCGTTTTGAGGGTCAGACAGGTTCAACAATTGCTCATACGTTTTCCACATGTTGTCCTATATTACAGTAATGCCGAATCTCAATTCTTTGATCGAAGAGCCAAACATTCGCTCTTCTAGCATGCCGGATGCTTCACAACAACAAATCCGCAAGACTCCAGGACACCACAAGCCAGTCTTGGAGTCACGCGTTCAATCTTCTGAATATATATATATATATTATATATATATATTTACCAGGCTACCGCCTGCAGCCGCCGACCCCCAAGGGATAGAACCTTAGCGCTAGCCTTGCTCTAGCCAGAGAGGTGGGGTGAGGCGTGACTGTCGATGTTAGCCTTAAGCCTTAGTGTTAGCCTTAGCCTAGCCTTAGCCATAGACTTAGCCTTAGCCATAGACTTAGCCTTAGCCTTAGACTTAGACCTTACTTTTTTACCTTTCCGGACCCGGGGTTTGTTGTAAAAGGGAGTTGTAGGATTTCCCAGGTATGCGTAGAAAATTGCGAACCTATTTTCTTCCATTGTTGTAGAATTTTCTAGGACTTCCTCTTGTGTTTAGGTTCCCAGATTTCCCCAAAAATTGATTAATCTATTGTTAACCTATTTGATTCTAGTGTTCCCGGCAAATGCCCTGGAATTTTCCTAGGAATGCTCTAGGCTTTGTTTAGATTTTGCGCTGGACGAGGTCCGGCCAGTGCCCGTGGTAACGTGAAAGGCTCTGGTAAGATTTTCGCATGCCTGTCGCCCGTGTCCGCGCCATGTGGCGTGTTGGTTCTAGGACGGAGCAGCGCGGGTGGACCGCGGTATTTTTTTCCCAGATTGACCATCGGACGTCATCTCTTGCATGAACCCCGTGATGCGGAGCCCTCCTCCCCATAAAGGATATCATTGCCCAAGAATTTTGACCCAACCCTTCACCACCAAAGCAGGTACCCAAAAAGTCGACTTTTTGGGTACCTCCCAGGTTTACCATCGGACGTCATCTCTTGCATGAACCCCGTAATGCTGAACCCTCCTCCCCATAAAGGATATCATTGCCCAAGAATTTAGACCCAACCCAGCACCACCAAAGCAGGTACCCAAAAAGTCGACTTTTTGGGTACCTCCCAGATTTACCATCGGACGTCAGCTCTTGCATGAACCCCGTGACGCGTTGGGTTCTGCGGCCTGTGGGGCCGCAGAGCGCTGCCCATGGTCTAGGGTACATTCAAATGCCACACGTATCGGCGCCCGGACTTGTACTGAATCGATCGGTTTCTCCCGGCGACCCAACCCATTACCACCAAAGCAGGTACCCAAAAAGTCGACTCGGCGCCCGGACTTGTGCTGAATCGATCGGTTTCTCCCGGTGACCCAACCCATCACCACCACAGCAGGTACCCAAAAAGTCGACTTTTTGGGTACCTCCCAGCAAGCGCTAGAAAATTCTTGGAAAAGCATCCAGCCGAAAACATAACAAAATCTAGACAAAGCCTAGAGCATTCCTAGGAAAATGCCAGAAAAGCCTTTGAAAATCTCATAAACCAACACAAAACTTGACAAAATCTACGAAAAAGCAAGGGCATTGGCCGGGACCACGCCGCGACCAGCCCGGGATTCGAGCCCAGGACCATTTTGGACCGTGCTTATTTTCCCGCGCGGGTCGAGAGGGTGCCCCAAGATGTAAATCAATTGGGATGGCAGAATCTTGGACAATCCAGGGCACCATCAGGTCGCCATCAGGTCGCTTTCCCGGAGAATTCCGTAGCTTTTAGGACCGGATTTCGTCACTGCAACAAGGGTCCGGAGGGGTAGGGGAGGTAAGGTCTAGGTCTAAGGCCAAGGACTAGGTCTAAGGCTAAGGATAAGGCTAAGGCTTAAGTCTAAGGCTAAGGCTAAGGCCTAGTGCTAAGGCTAAGGCTTAAGCCTACGGCTAACATCGACAGTCACGCCTCACCTCACGGTGTGGGGTCGGCGGATAATTGGATGTTGTTCTCACCCTTCCCTCTGTCTGTGAAGACCTGAATAAATACCTTCAGCATCCCACAACCGTGTCGGATTCAGCTGTGCTGCGGTGCATCCTTCAATCAAGCTTGCGTTCTATCCAATTGTTTTGACCTTCAATATGCTGCCTTTTTAGGCGTTGTGCCTGCTGCTGTGTTGGCCAAGCTGACAACAGAAGAACGCCAAGCGCTTTTTGAAGAGGACCTAAGTTTCATCGTGTTTTATCATTGTTGGGAATGCAGAACTTCCACTGACGCGCAGCAATCAGTTTAGTCAAGCTTGTGATGCTCCCCGAACGCTGTGGGTACTATCATTCAGTCAGGTCCCCCGACGTTGCCTCACTAATCCACAGTTCATAGTTTTGTGTTTAATGGTGACAGTCTGAATTCCGGTCCAAGTGTAGCTAGGAGATCACAACACAAAAAGCTGAGAAGGCTCGAGCCAGGTTGCTGCACCCCCTCCCCGGGCTTTTACAGCGAAGCCTAAAGTTTGCGTGTCTCTGTGGCGCTAGGACGAGCTGAAGAGGCTGACAAAGGTCGAAGAGGCAAAGGCCCCCAGCAAGAAGGCCCAAGTTTGTGCGATCAATGTGCTTGATGCTGCTGGTCTCAGCAGTGCTTTCTCTTTGAAAGGATTGTCGGAGTTTGGTAGGATCCTGCACATTGCGGTGTTGAGCGGGCCTTTTTGGTGAGTAGTTCATAGGCAAAGGCCGTGTATGACCTCATGACCTCATCTATTGATCGTTGCGAGCAGCACAACATATACTTTTCGTTGCTCGGTGATCGCCTCCAGGAGGGCCTGCGGAGGAAACATGTGGTCCAAGCACTTCGGCATTTGCACCAGGCCTTCAGGGCCAAACCAGGTATGGAGCGACCCTTGGTAAGGCAACCTCAGCGGTGCGAGCGGAACGAAAAAAACTCGGATAAGCTGGGAAAGAGAAACCCGAAGGGGCGAGAAAGCAGATGCAATCAGAGGCCCCGCGAGAGTGCAACGTTGACGAGGGCGAAACCCAACCTTTTGTGGCGCCCTTCTAGTTAGATTCGTTAAGCGAACCAACTTAGGATCAGCAAATTTGCGGAATGCCTGGGCATCGGCCAAGCAGCTGAAGGCCGGAGATTATTGGATGTTCGTAGGGGCTTCAGATTTAGTAATTTAGTACTGTAGAATCTCATTGGCTGCAGCATGTACATGCATTTTACTATAGAATTGAAAGAGCACACAAAAAAATCAGGAAGAGAACAGAGTCCAAAGGTGCGCTTCCGCCAAGCCAAGTGAAATCTAGGAGAACACAGGCCTACAAATATGCACATATGCACACATACATACAACACATTTTATGTATTCGTGTGTAGGAAGCCCATCCACCTGCGCACATTTGACGCCGCGGCGTTTTTGTGTGCATTCCCGGAGCCAGAGCGACATCAGCAAGCTGAAATGGGGGTTTCTGAAATTTTCTGAAAAGGTTCGGGCTATTTCGAGTCCTTGGAGTCCATTTGACTCACCTAAGAATTGGCCCATCTGCATGACAAGTGTGTGCGAGGAATCCTCTCCTGGATACGCTTTGCGCCTGGGCTCCTTCACAGTGATGGCTATGGCCAAGACCTTTGTCTCTCCACGTCCCTTTGGTGAAAGATCAGCCAATTTGTTGACCAGTGGCTATAATTGATGCCAAAAGCCATTGCCAAGTACCGTACTTTGGTTTGGAGAAGTTACTATCATCATCTATCATGTAATTGGAGCGGCAATCTGCAAAAGCGGTTACGTTGTGACGGTTCACCAAGCATATTAGTTGGATATTGTTAGATATGATATTAGTCTATGTTTGTTCAGCTGGAATTTTGTGATTGCTGACATTGAAGGGCATGCCAACTGCGAGGTGGTTGCGGTATGAGCTGTGGGTACGGTAAAGCACCCTCAAAGGCCAAATGGTAATTAAATGATATAGTTTTATCCCCAGGATGGCCCAGGATGTGTAGTTGCCATGCTTTCTCCAATCAACTGGGGTTTTAGGAGTTAGGGTGATGCAGTCCGCTTTGCACTTTTGTTTGCACGGAATTGCTGAACACCTGATCATTATTGATCCATCTCCAATTAGCATGCACACAGTTATTTACTTTACTGTATATAGATGTGTCCCGATTTCATAAGAATGTCTGGCATGCGACTGCCAAAACCGATGCTAGAACCTTTGACGTCCAAAGCCCGTATCTCATTTTGTCCAGGAATTTGAGTCCCCCCTTTGAAAATCACGATATATTGGAATTGGAAGAGTTGCAACATGTTTGGGGCCATTAGCTCGGCAGAGTGCATTTGCTTCAAAATCTGGGTGGACAGTTTACTAATTAGGTATATTAACAGTTGGTTGTGGTCCAGTCATTTTTCGTGGTGTTGCAAACGCACATGTGCACCAACATGATCTATATAACATGTTCGTTTCATAAACTCAATCAACTGATGCTTGATACACTCACTTCTCTGACTAGTTATAAGGCATTACAATCAAAAAACACTCGATTGCTCAATTTTGACAGCCTCTACGCATTGGGGGTATTGGTTTGAGCAATTGCCTTCAATACGCCAAAGGGCTTGCAGCCAGGTATTCAAGCTGGCGCAGAGCTGAACAAGCACTTCGAACAAATCTGCGAGGGTTTCAGCCAATGCCTGCAAGATCTTCGTGACATGAGGAAACTCGATGGAAAGATACGTTGCCTTTGTGGCAAGTACTTTGGCCTGGCCGCACAATTTTGAAGCAGTGGCAGTTCTTGCGTTTTGGCACTTTGGTTTGCTTTGCTTGCAGCACCTTTGCTCTCAATATGCTCAATCATTTCGGGGAGGCATGCAGACAGTGGCATTGTGCCAGCAGCAGGTTCAATTATATTCTAGCATCTTCTAACCATCTGAATCGTGCTCATTGTGAATCCTTTTGGGCTCCATCCTAAGTGTAGGTAGAAGACCTATCCATGGATAGAGGATGATGCAAGACCTTGCGGTGTACATGTTATGATTTGTTATGTCCCCCGTGAGGACCACTTGGAATTGGCGAAGTCGACCTCGAGTTTCTTGGAGTCCAATACCGAGCAATGCTGGGCCAATTGCCGTCGACTCAAGAAGGCCCTCACAGTTGTTCGACTTTGCATGCAGGGACTTTGGAGCTAAGAGTGATTGGCCCATATCCGCTGGCGTAAGCATACTGTGCACCATAAGAGTCTGTAAGTTTGGCTTACTGTTCAGTGACAGGACCCATGTTGGATCCAAGCCTCAGATTGCATAAACAGTTTCAGGTGCTGGGTGCCTTTCTAAGTGACATTCAAATGAAAGCATCATCGGAGTTTGCTTCACAGCTCAGGACAAGACCAGCGGCCGCGAGAACGCTCTAAGCGAATGGCTGTTAGCTGAACAGCCGCAGACCGTGAAGCCCAAATTTTTGGTCCTTACGGACTGTCAGCCAGAACAGGGTCACAGTCACGTGACTTCAGAGCTTTTGGCGGTCCAACCAACTCAAGTAACTCACTGGATCAGTTCTCAACTAGCAGGTGGCCCAAGAAACTGTTTGTGCCACGTGAGCATTTGCACATTTGTTGCACATTCGGCCAACCGCATCTTGTCGAAAAGCCACGGCGAAACATGGGAGCTTGTCCCAGGTGAGGATGTCCAGGATCGAATTGTGGACTTCAAGCAGCTGGTGGACTTCGCCAAACGTTGGTCATACATCCTTGAGGCTGCCAGGTTGCAAAGTGGTAACTGGCCTCTCGAGCAATGAGTTTGGATGAAAGAATACATATAAATATATTAAAACAAAGCCCATCCACAACCATCCAATTAGCAGTTGCTGATGTTGCCATGGCAATGGAACACGTTTCTTGTGCCAATTATTCTATTTGAATTTGGTGGACCGGCCTCCTACTTGTACTGATTTATATGGTAATTTTGTTATCATGGGTTATCATTAGTGATGTGGAGTGTGAAATCTTTGCATGAACGCGATGGCTTCATGTGGCTTCATAGTGCATTCTTCGATAGCGTGTTCGGGGGAGTCCTCCGGATAAACTATATTATCCTTGGTGCACACCGCACACCAATCTCACAACTGCTGGACCCTGACCCTATGGCTGGTGCCCAATCTTGAATGGCAGAAGCGCGCCACTGCATAAAAACACGATGGATGACAGAGAAAACGCCGGCCCTCAGCAAGGCGATTCTATGTGGTGCATGGCTGGAGCTTTGCAAGGCAAGACTCCGGGCCAGCGGAATCCGTCGATTCCACGGGCATCTAAATCAACGTTGGACATGAACATGCAAGATAGCAATGGTAACGCTCTTGTGCAAGCAGGATGAAAGTGCAACCATTTGCACATGCATCCAGGTTGTCGCTGAAAACACAGTTCGTTGCTGGGCTTGCTTGACGCTCGTCCTTGCACTTGGTTTGGAATTCGGATGACTAGTTGACTAGTTGTGTTGGTTTACATGTGTGTGTGTTCCTCAGTTCCTCAGCACCCATGTAAATTTACCAACATTTTATGAGACTCACTTTTGTGGAGATGTGCAACTGCTCGAAATATTATATATTTGAATTTGTGATGCCTGACATAGATAGAATCAGGTTGAAGCAAGTCTAAAGCTATTTTGCACGAAACTAGCTTTTGAGCGGACAACTAAGGACACGGAGTCCTCACGAGAAAGCGGTTGGTTGCAACTGCTTGAGCCAAGAACCGAAGTCGGAGCGCCTTAGCAGTAAGGAATTTGGAAAGTGAAGCAGACGAACAGAAAGTGTCAGCCCGACGTGTCGGTCAGAGACCTGAACGTGCTGTTCCTCTTGTGGAGGGGTCACCTACAGAGAGAAAGCCACACATGGTCCCCTGGGTAAGGCAGACAACAATTTACGATGCTCATTTTGTGGATGACATGGCGGTTTGCCAGGCAGATTTCGTTCAAGTCCAGGAATTGGCAGAACGAGGGTGCAAATCATACAACTTGCATCCAGCCTATGATAATCCATACGCCACACGATCCATAGTTCCAGGACCAATGAAATTCTGAGTCTAAACCTTATGTGAGGTACGGGGATAAGGATCGCTTGACCTATCGATCTCCTAAAGAACTAAAGACACTTACTTGAAATCATGCCGTTGCTTGAGCCCACCGCTCCAAGGATAGTCACCTCGGCTTGTCGGCGCTTGTGGCAGGCAGCAACAAGCAGTGCCAAGGTGTTTCAGGGGAAGGCACACGGTCGCCCTCCGTCGTCACGAGTCATTTCAACAAAAACAACCAACGCCTCAAAAGACCGACAAGTGAACATGCCATTTGTGAGACATATTGAAAAGGCTGCACTTTTGGATGGACAATTTGTTTGTTTGTCATTGGCTTGAGGAGCTCAAAGACACACTTCAAATTTATGGGTGCCTTGGCAAGTGGGATCATGTTTGCGAGTGGGACCGGCCATGCGTGCCTTCTTTCGGCAGATCACTGGTGAGAACTGTGTTTGCCGACCCAGATTGAAACCCCAAAGTCCCTTCCAGGGTTTGGAGGATGTGCAGTTTGTACAGGCAAGCATGCGCAGTGTCGAGATGACAAGCGGCATCGAGTCAAAGACGCACACAGACACAGACGCAGAGGTTTGTTTGTTCTTGGTGGCTATATAGCCAGCTCCGATCAACATCGGGAAACTTTGCCGTTGTGGCTGGGCTGGGGCTGAACGGCATGCGACAAGTCTCCATCCACCAAGGGTTCGGCCAGTGCCCTCGCCCAGACTCAGGCAAACAGCGATGACAGCCCTCGGTGGATCCAAACGATGGCAGGAGCTGAACAAACTGCCAGAGTGACTTCCTTGGATGCGGCTTTTGTGATTGTGAGACGAAGTGTTTGATTTCATTGACATGTGCAGAACTGTTTTGCCTTAGACAAATTTCTGGATTCCTGGATCAAAACAGTAGGGTCACTAGGGTTGTCAGGGGTTCACCAACCTCAGGGGAAGTTCCTTTCTAATTAGAGTTGTTGTTGTTGTTGTTGCTGTTGCTTTATTTTGTTGTTGTTGGTGGTGGTGGTGGTGTTGCTTTTGCTGTTGTGGTTGTCGTTGTCGTTGTTGTTGGTGGTGGTGGTAGAAACAAAAACAACCGCCCAACATAATTGTCACATGTTGTAACTATGGAGCTTCAAGGGGGCAAGGTTAGGGATACGGTTGAAGGTTTGAGCGAATGTTGGTTTCGTAAGTAGGTGGACTTGTTGGACTTGTTTCACTGTTTCACTGAAGTCTGGGCTGGTCCGTTTTTAGTGTTTTTGAGGTGTTGTTCTGGAGGGGGGTCCAAAAAACAACAACGGGGCTGCAGTCTTTGTTTCTAGGAGGGGGTAGAGACAACAACACCTTTTGAGGGGGGGTCCAAAAACAACCAGGGGGCTGCAGTTTTTGCCGCTAGGATGCGGTAGAGGCTCTAAGTACAAGTTTTACAGAGGCTTAGCTGAGCTGACCGGTTGCTACTACTACTACTGCTACTACTAGTACTGTTAGGTTACTACTACTACTACTGCTACTACTACTACTACTTCTACTCATCCTCCTCCTCCTCCTCCTCCTCCTCCTACGCACTCCTACTCCTACGACTACTAACAACGACTACTACTAGGTACTAGCACGACTAGTACTAGCACTAGTACAAGCACTACCACTACTGGCAAAAGCACTTGTTGGCTGGTTGTTTCGTGGGGGGTCAAAAAGCAACGACGGGGCTGCAGATTTTGTTTCCACCCCCTTGTAGAGACAAAGGAACAAGACATGTTGTACTGGGGCTGCAGTTTTTTGGGCTTGTAGCTTGTAGCTTGTAGCTTGTTGTTGTTGTTGTTGTTGTTGTTGTTGTTGTGTTTGTTTGTTTGCTTGTTTGCTTGTTTGCTTGTTTGCTTGTTTGTTTGTTTGTTTGTTTGTTGTTTTTGTTGCTGCTTGGTTGCTATTTTGGTGGACAGTGCAACACTAGTTCGTCCACAGCCCGGAAGGGTGAACTGCCTTGTGGCCACCTTGTAAGGATTGCATAGTGAGGACTCGCTTGCGCGATAGGTCCCAAACCATCGGGACCTAACCGATGTTGAGATTTTCAGCTCCAGAGCCAAGTGCTGACCAACAAACTGTCAGCCACATTCAGTCACTACTCGCATGCCTTATGCACAGGAGTTCCAACGACTTGTGGTAAGGGATGGTGCGGGCATATAGCAATCCCATGATGGCTCCAGCTTAGAAATGGTGTATTTTGCTGCGCGGCAACGAGGCAAAGCATCAACTTCATGACCGCCCGACTCAAGGCCTCTTGAGCTGTTTGCTTCGTGGACCGACAGATGTTGTCAGATATGAAAGGACCCAGGCGGCACGCCAGATCGATTTTATCATAACTTCGTGTTCAATCAACTCAATCGGCACGGACTATCACACATATAATAGACATATAATAATACATATATTATATATAATATATACTTGTGCAGTGCAATGAATGCCAAAACGTGATATGCTTTCTTCCACGGATCCTTCTAGTCAGCAGTCCAAAAAACTATGAGGCACTTGTCCCTGAGAGCCCTTGGAGATCCCTGGACGCCGACCTCACCAAAGAGGACTGAGAAGAGCTAGCAGCTAGAACAAGATCAGAATGAAGACATGTAGGGCTGAACATTTTTGACAGCCAGGACAAAGATACCAACTCAGGGGTTCTTTATCCCTCGTCAGATCTTTTTTGTAATCCGTTGATGAGTAAGCTAGCATACTTTAGCCAACTCTACGACAGACCGGACAGGCAGTATTATCACGGCATAGTTACGGCATAGCTGCGCAGTTTTTTGTTAGATCCTCACTGAGCCGAGCAGGAAGTTCAAGACCGAGCAGTGGAAGCGGCAAGGACAGGTGCGAGAATCGTTAGTAAAAGGCTACGGATTCGGTGCAGCACTTAGAGATAGGCTAAGAGCACGTCGTCAACCCCAAGATGCTCGCAGGACACAACTAGATGCAATGATGAGCAAAGGTCGGCCACCAGAGTTGCAGGAGGCACAATGCATGCAACGTTTGATCGTCATTGTCTTACATTTGCGAACCGGCTGGTACTGGTCTAAAAGGGCAACAATGACGAGAGGCAGAAGGGATGCGTTGGAATGGTCTATGTGCTAATGTGCACTGTCCCTGACCATCTCTCGTTCCACCAGGCCTTCTCTGTGCTGGAAGTTTTGCCTTTCCTGCGACAGGATGACAGGCGTCTTGCCTGAAGCGGGAGCTTTCAGTTTGTGAATCCACAAGAACTACTGTCACAATTTAATTGAGTATATAGTTATTGAGTATTGAGAGATGCTTTGCATACAGCCAGCAGGAGCAGAATCCAATGTGTGAGCGTTTAAGTTAAAATGAGCTGAATAGACTATATATATATATATTAAAAACAACAAACCGCAAGGACTGAAAGATGATTGTAGCTGGACTCCAAGGAAGGATGCGCAGCTCAAGCTGAACGAATTGCACGAGCTCTTGAACAAGCAGGCCAGCTAGGACATATATTATATATACGTGCTTCTACGTAGCTTTCAGGCACAATGTAAGGGGGGTTAGCATAAGGCTGATTCAGCCCGGATGAGTTTGTTTATCTCGAATATAGAGGCCTGTGTTCAGGACTGGGTGGACTGGGGGGTTTGCAAGTTGAAGCGGTAGCATTGCACTACCTTCGAACTTCCCACCACGAATGGTCCAGGGGTGTTGAGAGGCATAGGTATCAAAAAAAATAAAAAGAGCATCAAAAAAAATAAAAACAGGATCAAAAAAAAATAAAAACAGGATCAAAAAATAAATATTCCTTGATAGGCCTCTTCTGCTGCTCTCCTGGCCTTGTGGTCTGCGCGTCCTCTGGTAATGTGGTCCCTTGGTCCTTTGGTCCTTCTCTTCCGCTGGTCCTTTGGTCCCCTGGTCCCTTGGTCCTTCAGTCCACTGGTCCCCTAGTCCTCCGGTCTCCTGGTCCTCTGGTCCTGTGCTGCTGCTGCTACTGCTACTGCTACGCTGGTGCTGCTGCTGCTGCTGCTGCTGCTACTGCTACTGCTACTGCTACTACTACTACTACTACTACCACCACCCCAACCATCCTCAGTGGGCTAGAATATGTTTTTTTGATTCCCGTTTTATTTTTTTATTGATCCCCGTTGAATATTTTTTTTGTATCTTTTTTTTAAATTATTTTTTTGATCCCTTACCCGTGTGGAGAGGCCATCGGTCGCCTTGTTTTCCTTACACTTGGACCAACCTTTCACAGAATTAGGCCACCCCAGAAGAGGATCAACAAGGACCGTTAACAAAATGATATACAATGTGAGACGCCAGCCTACATATGATCACAGGTATGTAATTATATAATATATATATATATATTATTGTTTTACAGTACCATGTCTTACCCAATTCACCGCATGCCCTAAGTTTTTGAGACTCGGGATTGCTAGTGTTTGTCAGCTGTTTGCATTGAAAGCTGAACGGCGTGTGATACCGCAACTCACCTCCACAAGGAGAAGAACCCTGTCAAATGGGTGATCCGAGCCGAGATGGAGGCATGGCCGGCACAACAGCCGGACAGTCCGAGCACGATGAGACATTTTGCCCTGCACCGATTGGAACACACATATAATACTATGGTTTAATTTGGTGTTTCATGGCCCCCTCAGAATCTTGACAGAAAGTGTATTGGAACATGATTCTTGTAGCAATTGCACCGATCAGCATTAAAATATCTCAAAATGCAAACAAGCACAACCCAAATGCAATTACGACATGTGAATTCGCATTGAGTGATCGTTTTATCCTAATATATCTCTGTCCGTTTTTCAGGATTGTTTCGACGTGCAATTAAGGTGCAAGGAGTTGATGCAAGCTAAAAGAAACACTGCCCCAGTCCCAATGCTTCTTTTCACGATTGAAGTGAAGTTTCTTTGTGCTTTTGGCATGTTTTGACTCCATTGGTCCAATACTGTTCTACGATGTGGAGTGGCAAATCCCAGTCCCACCAAGTGTGACAGGACAACATTGTCAAATACTTCAACATCCAATGGCAAGTCCAAATGAAGCTTTGGATGCTTGCCTGCTGACCGTCTCATAGTCATACATGCCTTTCTAAATCGATGTTGTGCTCATGGCTTTGTGCTTTTGCCTGGGTGAGCTTGGCAACTGAGGGAGTACTGGTTCAACAACCAAAAGTACCGGAAGGACAGGTTTATGTGCTTGAAGCCTGCCTCGGTTATGTACGTTCTTGAAAAGGTCGGGACACCTCAGTGCTCAAGCATGTCAACCATTTGATCATTTGATACCACTTGAAGTTGAACTTATGGATGGATTGACAGACAATTGGGTATATACATTGCAGCACTGGGTCTGGCAGTGAACAAGCTTCTACCTGAGGTGGTTGTGTGGGCTTCAGTGCTGCTGACGCAATTTGACAGCCTCTATTTGTTGGGAGCTCCAACTCTGCTTTAGGTCTCACAGACGCTTGCTGACTTCTCTAGGGTCATGATCATCCATTTGCATCCTTTTGACTCACTGACTGTACCACTAGATGATGCCTGCATATGCCTGCAAGAACTTGGCAAGGCATTTCTTCGGCTGTGTTCCTTGTCCGACCATATGCAACATGCATTTCCAATAAGGCCGCAATCCTTCGTGCAAGTTGGGCTCTTACTTGTAGCCGAGGTGATAGGCCTGCTCAAAACTCACAACACATAATTAGTGGCTAGGGTCTTGAGCATCCATATGCCCACAAGACATCGTAAGTCTGTGTCGCTTCACACGCCACAGAAGAGCCATTTTGTTTGCTTCTGACATGTCCACCTCAAGGCGCATCTTACCAGTGCGGGTCATTTGGCTCGCCAAGCAGCAGAGGCGCCGAAGGAGGCACACAGATCGGCAGACGTTCACTCTTCACTGTCACTGCCAGACTCGCAAAACTGAAGCTCACTTTTGTGGAGCAAGTATGAAACAAGAAAGAAATACATGTGATTGTGGACATGCGGACATGCGTATCAGAGCATTTTCTCATTTTCTGCAGCACACGGAACAAGCTGGTGGCATACGAGGGGCATATGTCGAAAGACAGGAAAGACCGAGTTTGACATTATATCATAAAGTTGACCAGCGACTAGGACGAGTTTAATTCCTGTGGTTGTTGGTTGGTTATGTCGACTGCTTATTTTAGAGCTGCATGAATCATGAAGCTGCCCAGTTTCTCCAGAGTCGTCCGTGTCGGGTGACAGTTGATCAAAAAAAAATGCTTGGGATGTTTTGACAACGAGAAATGAAATTCAAATTGTTAGTCAAGCAAACTCCATGATTTGTCCTTGTCGCGTGGTTTCCTTCAGTTTGATGTATTGATTCGTACTGCATTCGCATGTGTATATATTGGCAGTGCACGTTTTTGCACGCATCCCATGACTGTTTTGCACAGTATGTCCGCCAAATCAGAACCATGTCTCCATTGCAAATTGTCGAGCATACAGAAGGCTTACCAGAACAGGTGTAAGGAAACCCTTTCCTGGCAGCAATCCCAACACTCTCAGTAGGTTCCGCCGACCCCACATGTGTGCCTACACAATAGAATGCAACATCTTGGTGCTAGATTTAAGGCACACTCCATGAATTCCACAGCAATCGCAATCAACATCAACGAAGGTTAGTTTGTCCATGTTCGTCCCAAACCTGCTGCCATTTGCACCAGAAGGCATAATCATTGTGTTTGGCGAGAACATCCCATTAAGCACGATGCATTCTCACACAACGGGCGTCTTTTCCACAAAGAGCACGGAAAACGATATGTTATACTCTCTTCGTAGGTCTTTCCGTAGCACGACCTACGTCCAGGTCCAACACCGTGACATGTTCCAAATGTTTTTACATGCTGATCTTGCTTTGTTTGCCACAATTTGTCGAAGCTCGCTCGAACACCTGGCGTAAATGTTGCAGTACAGATACAGGAGGCGGACAAGTGGAAAGCAGACGCACGGAGAGCCTTGAAGGATGTTGTGGCTTTGCTGAACGGGGTGTCCTTGGTTGCTGATTTTTGGTTGTGGCACCTGCAAGTGCGCACATTTTCTTGGATAAATTATTTGCTCAAGCATTAGTCTGCTCCATTGTCCAAAGGTGACTAGCACCCTTTGGCAGTCCCTGAGGTCCATTTCCTGAAGAGCTTGATCTTTTGGGATCTGGATTTCTTCCAGTGGCTTAAGAAGACCGAGGTGCGCATCCCTGATCCAACAACACCGTCACTAAGTCTTAGCTAAGCCGTGCATAAGTGGAAAGCAAAAGGTTCATCATGTCCAGAGTTTGTCTCGCATATCCATCGACGCTTAGGCTCATCAGGGGGAAGTGCTGGCAAGGATCACGAGCCTTCTTGCGGCCACCATGGTGAATGATGAGCAGGTGAGGTGATTGCCAGAAACGCTGCTTACCTAAATGCTACAAGTATGCTAATTTATATATATATATATAGAACTTGCAAGCGTGAGCTTCCATGGCACTCTAAGAGACTAAGATGTGCTGTCTTAAGGGATTGCCTGTGCTTGTGCCAACCCCTATAGCTGCAGTGTTTGGTTCAAGCTGTCTTGCCATGTACAGGGCCTTGCCACAACTCACCTATGTTCTCAGTAATGTAATGCTCCAATACATTGTGGCCACAATGCAAAACCGCACATGCTCCAAAAATTAATGGAACATGGACCGGTATTGTTAAGAACCAGCTCGTGCCCACTTGCATTGACCGGGGCCGACATGTGTTGACTCAAGCACTGGTAGCTGAATGCAGGGCACCAGGACCTTGCCAGCATATCACCATGACGTTCCATGCGGGGCGATGGGCCCCGCTTTGGTGCTGGGCGTTTCTGGGGCGACTTGGAGGGGGACCTGCAGCCGCGGCCTGCCCAGGCGATCACTTGAGTTCTGACAGGAAACAAGGTAAGGTTTGTGCTTGACCCTAGGTTCATTCAAGATGGAACCTTTGGATTTTGCATGATATAGATTCAACTCACTGGGTCAGACATAAAACTATAATAGCAATACAGTTGAATCCAACAATATAATATAATATTCGTATCGCCTGTACAAACATCAATCATGTGAATTGATGGAAGGCACTTGGTCGCGGATATGAAGATGAGAGTGGAGATCCTTTCACGGACCTCAACGCAGAAGAGTATGAGCGTCAAGTGTTGGCATACATAACTGAAGGCTTGTTGGTCTTTTCAAGACCGTTCAAACATTGTTCTCAGGGCTTTTTCGAACATCTCATGCTGGTACGGTACTCGTAGGTAAGTTCGCATATAACTACTGCGTAGTTAGCCACGACAGCCACGTTGCTATTTAACGAGATCCACATGGATTATTCGGCCATTCAGTGCAATCAAAGACCTTAAATTTAATAGAAATTGGATTGCAACTAGATTGTAATTAAAGTAACTTGTAATTATTTCGTTACTATTTAGGTCATACAACAATATACTACTTAAATGCATTTAGTTCAATGCAATTAATTCGACATGGAGGGAGCTTCCTTGAAGAACCCGAGCAGAAAGTAGCGACATCTCTGCGAGCTTCTCCTCTTACCAACCAGTTGAAGTTCTTAGTTCAACCTTAAAGATATTACAATATTTTAAGTAGCAGTCACTTGGTTTGAGTTTGTTCTTGTCAATAAAGGAATCACAAGAATATTCAACTAGAAGATTTATCTCTTCGCTCGAGCAGTTGCACTTGTGGCTAGTGGGGGAGAGGGATCATTGGCCAGCGTGCCAATGAATTGCACCTGCAGCAAATCGCCGCAGGACAGAACGCGACTCGTGGCTTCATAGAAATCAAATTGTCCACATGATGTCGTTATCTCTGACGAATGTCACCATCCCTCCCCTTTGGGGGATCGATCCTTGCAATATTTGGGTAAATCAGGGATTTCATCAAGGGCTCACAGCCAAAGGATTTGAAATCTGGTCGACCGGAGAACTTTGGAGAAGGAAAAGTTTCAATCCACACATTCTTATGCAGACTTTTAGCACAAACTGAACAACGTGTTGATTTCCTTCGGTGTCCTTGAAAGGAAGAACATGAAAAGGTTCAAACTGTTTAAGCAAAACAGGGTCACCTTCAAAAAGGTGTAAACTTTATTGTAGGAGGTGGTGCTTTTGAAGGCTTATACTTTGATTATCAATAAAGCGTAGACATTAGTGTCGGGGTGATGCTTTTGAAGACTTCTGAGATTCAAATGCAATGTTGGTAGGGGTTGATACTCCAGAAGCACCAAATCGAGAAGTGTACCAAGAGCATTAGAGTTTCAGGTGCACGAAATTGAGAAGTGTACCAAGAGAAACCTAGGGGGCATGCAAGCCCTTTTTTGTTCGAGCGCGGTCAAAAGGACCGCATCCTTTGCGGGTTATGAGCCCAACGCGATAGGCCGGGTAGGAAGGCCACCCAGGGACGGGTCGCGAGGACCCACTGGTCGCTGGCTCCCATGTCGGCGCGAGCGTCGGCGCGGGCGGCTGGTGGCGCGGCTGGCGGCTCGGCGGCGGGCACGCCGGAGGAAGGCTCAATGGAGAGCGCCAAGGAGGACGAGGTCCTCGCTTTGGAGGACGCCCAGGACGCTTTGGTCCCGGTGACGGCCATGGTCCTGGCCCAAGGTCCTCCTACCACCTATGGCCCTCAGCGACGAGGAGAAGCTTCGGGTAAAGGAAAGGGTGAGGGGGCAAAGATGGTGCCCGTGAACCCGTTCTGGAGCGAGCGGATGCAGGCTGAAGCTCGGCTGAGGGCTATGAGGCCGGCGGCCCTACCTGAGGGAGAAGCTGACGGGCCCCAACCTTCAGGACGGGTGGAGCCTGCGGATGAGGAGCGGGGGGTTTCAATGGACGTCAAGGAACTCCTGAAGGCGGTCATGGCGCAGAACGCAGCCTTGAAGAAGGAGGTTGGGGAGCTGCGCAAGGAGATCAAGGAGTCCAAGAGTGTCAAAGAGTTGAAGGGAAAGGTGAGGGTTGAGGCCATTGAGGATGCACCCAAACCCCCAATGTCGACACCACCACCATCACCTCCGAAGGATCCACCTCCACATACTCCCGTGAAGGGAAGGATGGATGATTCGGATCAGGCATGGGCCGGTTTGAGGATTGTGGAGTTCCCCAAGTCGTTGGAGGGTGACACTATGGGGAGAGGTACCGCTCCAAGAGGTTCGGGAGTACCTGAAGTGCCTGGATCCTGGGGAGCTGGAGGGTGGGGACTTCAAGGTGGTCATCAACGAGGACCAGATCAAGAGGGCCGAGGCGACGGTGAAGGGAGCAGGGAGTTGATCCGTGGCTCACCACTCGAGCAGGCTGCCCAGTCGGTGTTTAGGCAGTTGGGAACGAGTTCACCCGAAGGACAGTGGGCCGAGGCGATTCGGTCGGTAGAGCTACCACCCCTCCAAGATCTTCGAGAAGGTGATTTGGGGTCGCTCATCCTGGGAGATTGGATCCAACTGGTGACCCCGACCATGAAGGATCTGAGCGCAACGAGCTGGAAATGGTGGGAGGGGGTGTTGAACTTCGCCATGATGGCGTACCGTGAGTGGCTTCAGGCAGAACCTGTTCAGCGGCTCTACATTCGACCGAGGGTCCCAACGGAATGCTCGGGAGTCTGGAGTCGACTGGAACAGACTGGCCAGCAGAACGACCAGCTCGGTGGAAGTGCTCTACGCGCTGTTCAGGCGCTACCAACCTGGGGGTCTTGCCGAGAGATCTCGACTTCTCCGACAACTGGTGGAACCGAAGACCCCCCAGACTATGAACGAGGTGGTTGAAGCGCTCAGGGGATGGAGGCGGAGCTTGAGACGCGCCCAGGAGCTGGAGATTGCCACCCCGGACGCCACCCTCCTCCTGGGAGCTCTTGATCGAATGTCAGAGTTGGTGGGGAGGACATCAAGTCAGGTGGCCTTTCGAATGTCGTCTACAAGAGCGGCCCTAGGGGTGGACGTGACGCCATCGCTCGAGACGGTGCTGAACTTCTCGGACATGCTCACTGCGGAGGCCGAGTCTCTGGCCATCAGCGAGCTGCAGCCCGTGGCGGAGGTTAAGACGGCACCCCCGGTGACCAAGGTCAAGGCCATGGCGGCAGTGATCGAGGAGAAGGGGGACAAGGGCGCCGGGAAGTCCAAGGTCGATGGAAAGGTGGAGGAGAAGACCTGTCGCTTTTGGGGCTGCCGGAAAGGACAGGATTGCCGCTTCAAGCACGACTGGACCAACCTGGAGAAGAAGGGGCGCTGCTTCGGGTGCTCGTCAACCAAGCACTCCAAGAGGGATTGCCCGGCCGTCAAGATGAAGATCGACGGGGAGAAGCAGGTGAAGACCTTCAAGAAAGAGGCGGAGAAGGGTGGTGGAGTCAAGAAGAATGAGCGGGAGCCAGCGGTGGAGAGCCAGGCATCTTCAGTCGAGGAGACGGTGGATGAGAAGCGGGTGGAAAAACCGGCAGCTAGCTCTAGGGAAGTTCAAGCCCTACTGTCGGAGGCGACTACTCTCTTGAAGAGCTTGAGACCAGCCAGTGATGGGAGAGCTTCGCTGAAGGCGGTCAAGCTGAGCAGTCTGGAGGTGAGGACTACGGATCGTGCCCTCCTCGACGGAGGAGCGACTCACTGTCTCAGAAGGGCAGAGTCGGAGGAGGAATGGCTGAGGGCTCAAGAGGTTCGAGTAGAACTGGCAGAAGGATCTGTGATGCTGAGGCAGATTCCGTGGACGAAGACCCTCCTCACGCAGAACGACGTCCAGACCATTGTGCCGCTGGGGGTGCTGATCTCGTTAGGCTATGAGGCCTACTGGGAGAAGGAGAGATTCACGCTGACGGACCCGAGCGGAGCTCTCCTGGATGTCACGATTGAAGGCATGTGCCCAACTGTGGGAGAGGGCTTGGGAAGAGAGCTCATTGCGGAGATCGAGAGAAGCATGGTCCGGGAACGAGCCAGGTTGGCAGTGTTGAACGGGGAGGAGAACCAGAACGAGCTGGAGCTGGGGGAGATTCACCATCTCAAGGAGCTCCGAGAGCTGTTCCCTGAGGTTCCTCTTCGGCTGCTGGTGAGGATCTTGCCGAAGGTGGGATGGAAAGGGGAGTCAATCCCCTGGAACCGACATGAACGAAGGAGAGTCCGGAAGGCTCGAGAAGTGGTGGTTCACCTCTTCAGCGGGGACACCAAGAAGTACTGGCAGAGGGAGCTCGAGTCAGAGGGCAGGGCAGTCCTGTGTGTGGACACGGTCATAACATCCTCCGGGACGACGTCTTTGCGCGGATGCCTCCTGGACTTGTGGTGTGGGTACACCGTCTTCAAGACGATCTGAGGGCTTGAGTCTCCCCCCCGAAGAGGGGGGAATTTTTGAATGTCTTTCAAGAAAGGTTTGGTGCTCCCTCAAAAGTCACCACACGTGGCGAGGGGG